AGGTGGTCCAGGTGGTCCAGGTGGGCAAATGACGCATGGCTCTGACTGAAGTCCATCGGAGGGCTCGATACCGCCATCACGTCCTTTGTTGCCGTCCTTTCCTTGCTCGCCGTCACGACCATCTTTTCCGTCATCTCCAGGAGGTCCAGGGGGTCCGGCAGGTCCTATAAAGAGATGAATGATGGTACTCCTTTCTATAAAGCCATGTAAAGATTCTGCTAGATAAGCAACTATTCGTACCTTGCTGGCAGGTGCAGCACTGTGGCTCAGGTTCGGCATTGACAACGGGGCCGTATCCGTTGCTTGGTGGAGGAGCTGGTGCGTAACCGTGCTGAAACGTGGATCGCTTAATTTCAATTTTATCACTGTCCACAGAAGTTTCCTAAGTTTGTCAATAATCTTTAATCCAACGCCCTCACCTCTTGTGGTCCACCATATTCAGCGCCACCGCCGGCACCACCATCAGGCACCCACTGTCCGAACAGCCATCCTCTCTTAGCACGACCTTTGGGGGCCATTTGGTACATGCTGACGAGCATGTCACGGGAGCGCATCTGAAGAGTCTCATAGTATGCTGTACGGCAGTTTTTGAAATGCTATTTCAACTTACGCGGCAGAATTCAGTCTCAGAGTTGACCTGGCTTTGGAGGGTCTGCACGTAGCTGTACAGCATAGGAGTGGTAATCGCCGAGGCGATTACTGCCGCCGTGGAGACAGCGACCGCGACGAACGCGATGGAGCGCATGCTGAACAAATTTTTTGTTTCTAGATGGTTTTATAGTAGTGAAGGGCTTCTTGAGACAAGCGACGACGCAGCTCTGTGTGAAAAGGTGTTGGGCGAAACTGGTAGGATTCCCTTACCAGAGAAGTCCGCCAACTTACCATGGAACTTTGAATGGAGACCTGGGTAGATCGATAGAGTCTATAAGGTTATTTACAAATATAGATAGCAAAACTGCAACCTGCATTTCACAAGCAACTTATGAGCAGGTAAAGTTTGTAATGGTGCAGTAGGGTGGAGGCTTGGTGGTGAGCTGTGAAGCGCCACCAAGAATCCACCCTACTGCAACCAAGCCTCCACCCTACTGCACCATTACAAACTTTACCTGCTCATAAGTTGCTTGTGAAATGCAGGTTGCAGTTTTGCTATCTATATTTGTAAATAACCTTATAGACTATCGATCTACCCAGGTCTCCATTCAGTTCCATGGAAAGTTGGCGGACTTTCCTGGTTAGTGATGGATAAGGACGCTGGAGATACTGCCACTGTAAAATTGGCGAGCCAAAGTGATAAAAACATTTCTACAGTCGCATTTGTTGTGAAATGCAGAAAAAGTTGTCATTGAAATCTCATGGATACGTAGTACCCAGGCGCAGCCGTGGCCGTTTGTTCGCGTCTTATCTTCTTTTTTTAGGTACTGCCCCAGTCCCGTTTGTAGTGGAACCCCCCCCCCCCCCTACCACTCCTATTCTTCCAGACTAAATTTACAATCACAGCAATCATCACCACGGATAATGCATCCACAAATGAATTTATAAAGAAAACATACCGCTTGTTGTCCTCCTTGGCCTCCATAGCGAAGCAGGATGAGATGGCATGAGATGATGGCCCTTATATATGCGATGAAGGAGGGCATTGTCCTTGGGATATGGGTCGGGAGCGGTCCGGTCACTTTACGCACGTAACGATAAGGGATATCCAAATGCATGGCCGAATGTGCTGTTGATGAGACGGATAAAGAGAGAAAGAGAAGAATGGCGTCCATTAGGTGGATATGCGGCGATCCTCAGAAGAGATATTTCTCTTCCATTGAAAGCTATACAAAATCCTTCCCGACGTCGAATTATTACAGGATGGTGTACAGTGGTAGTTCCACCCAGTGGTCTTTCATGAAAGGCACATATCGAGAAGGAGGTGCGAGAGCGTATGGTGCCACCAAGAGCATTAGTTTGTATGTGCCATCACAATTTTCTTCAATTCTCAAAAATCTTTCACTAGGGCAAAGCCACTTGCGAAAAGAATAGAAATAATGGGTTCATTCACGTCCCTAGTCCTCTTACTGCCAAACGGTTTCCTGGCATTTGGCATTACGATCACTTCATTGCCGTCGATCAGCCATTTGGGATGATCCCGTCAGTGAGCCCTTTAGCGACCTCTTAGGTATGCTCGTCCTCAGAACACGTCTTGCCGCTATGGAAAATTTTGCAAATGCCGCCGAAACCCACCAAGTTTTTTACTCTGATATGACAACATTCCTCATCCCCCATTATGTCTACAATTTTCCAAGCCCTCCCGAACTTTTCATCGCTTCACCGGAGAAGAATTGTCCAGCTATTCTTCAATTTCTTGAAAAAACTGCCAAACTCCCGTCGAGGGGGAAGGCGGATGATATATAACGCGAAAAGCAGAAAAAATTCAACAACCTAAAACATTTTTCTTGGAAGCAATCAGCAATCCTCCTCCCTCCCCCACCTCACGGTGGAGACCTAGTTCCTAGACTATGCAAGAGCAGAAGACATTTGATTCATGGATTTCCTTTTTTCCTCATGTTACTCTTAGCTCCTCTTACACTTTACTGACTCCACTTGAAAACTCGGGCCGAACTGCGATCAGAATTTCTCCCAGGATTTGTATTCATTCAACTCTTCGGCCTTGGGGTACCCTCACCTCCCGAATTCAGCGGCCACGCTACAGACGTCGGCGAGTAGACTAGTTTTGACGCCAGCACACGAGCTAGGCCTTTCCGGGCCAAGCAAATGAATTACTG